TGCAAGTAAACATTGCTACATGGAATATATATTATTTACTTACCTATTCAATGAAGATCACTGATGACGAAAATATGAAATGAAACTGTAATATGAAACGAAAACTGTAGAAAGCGTAGGGCATAGAAACGCAACAAATCCTGAAGTCACTTTTTACTGGCGAGAATGGGAACACTTCTCCAGTCAGTAAGATGACGTCACTCTAATAATATTATTTTACTGACTGGCAAAGGGACTATGGGAAGACAGCCATATGTATATTTATCCTTCTATTTATTATTGATGGAGGGGATGAATCCGGCGCATGCGCACAACGTTCAAAGTACACTGAGAAAGAGAGAGAAGTATATTCCCGCACCGTGGTTCTGGGACATGGACTTCTCTCTCATCCTAGCCATATAGTAGTATTACATATATGGCCCTGCTACTGAATGCTAGAGGCCTAGAAAACAGAGATGCGACATTGCGTCGGTTGGGTTAGGTAACCATCGCCATTTTAATTCAATATAAGTGCCCTTGACCAATAAGCTGATAACAGTTGATGCAAAAGGTAGAAAGATTAGATTAGGTTAGGTTAAGTCCGATATTAAATATTCACACAAATAAGAATACTTACACCATAATAATAGTTGTTCATTGCACTTCGACACTGTATTGTCTAAATTTTTCTTTATATATATATATATGTATGTACATACGTTATAAAACTATATCTATTAGATGCAACAGTGAATTAAAATGGCTCTCTGATCACGTGATTTGGACAAGCCATACCCTTCAATGACGCATCTCTGTTTTAGGGCTGTCTTCCCATAGTCCCTTTGCCAGTCAGTAAAATAATATTACTAGGGTGACGTCATCTTACTGACTGGAGAAGTGTTCCCATTCTCGCCAGTAAAAAGTGATTTCAGGATTTGTTGCGTTTCTATGCCCTACGCTTTCTACAGTTTTCGTTTCATATTACAGTTTCATTTCATATTTTCGTCATCAGTGATCTTCATTGAATAGGTAAGTAAATAATATATATTCCATGTAGCAATGTTTACTTGCAACTCTGTAATATTTCGGTACCAAAACGAAATCGTTGTCTAACCTCTTTAGTCGCCGGGGTCAATTATTTTAAGACATGGGTACCGAAATATTACAAAGTTGCAAGTAAACATTGCTACATGGAATATATATTATTTACTTACCTATTCAATGAAGATTACTGATGACGAAAATATGAAATGAAACTGTAATATGAAAAATAAGAATTTGTGAAGAATATCACGAGTTGGCGTTTCGTCCATATTCGTGATATTCTTCACAAATTCTTATTTTTCTTAGTTTTAAATTTATTTCTTTCTTTAATATTTAATTTAAAGATTTTAATATGTCTTTCAACATATTATTAAGATCTTATTAGATGCTATAAGCATCAAAAATTTGTGATATTACTACGGTAGTTAATTAGATTTGCGTTTTAAGTTCGACGGATGTTCGGCGCGCAAGGGGGAGAACTACTTACGTGGTATATAATATTCACACTCTAACATATCTTATATATGATCGCACCAATAACCGCTGAATAGCTCTCATTAGCCTGATTATTCTTGTTATTTGAAATTCTCAAGAGTCTTCTTTAATTTATTTATTTTATTTCTTCTAACACATACCTTTTTTTATCAAGATAACTTATTTCTGCAGTAAAAGGATAGTTGAAGAGTATCCAGTAATTTTGTTGAAACGAAATAGCGTATACTCTATGCACTTACATATATATATATATATTTCTTCAGTTTTGACATATTAACTAAATAATTAAATAATTCAAGGCTATTTGTAATAACATTTTATACTTGCGAGCGTTAGATTTGACAGGGATTGTTACAATTTATAATGAGTTGGATTCGAATAATTTTGTTTAATTTTAATTTATGTACATCGAGTGAATTGTGACTTGTGATCCTTTTGGGATACAATTTCGTTACCAATAAGCCTGGAAACTTTTTGGCCGAAATTTATGCTGGCATTGGAACACAAGAAGAAATCTTTTTTTAAAATTCTGCTGAAGATGGCTAAAATATATAGCCGAAACGTCCGGAATATGTAACAACGTTGTAATTACACCTATTGGAAATAGGAACATCGATGGATATTATTAAATTTAGTAAATAAATAAAAAATTTTTTTTTATTTATTATTTATATTAACGTTGCGCACCACTTACTGCGCTGTCTCCTTATTGCCGATTTTAAATTTGTATTATATTGATTGTAATAAGATTTATTTGTTTCCATCTACCTGAGTACATACAGACTTTTGAATTGGCGCCTCAAAAACTTACAGCGTTGTGGTTGGTCAATCAATTTTCCCCGTTCCCCTGCATGCGCCTTGCTATACCTCTCTTATTAAGGTGCTTTTTCATGCGCAGCACGCTGCAGCAGCAATTCGTTACTATTGGTTAAGAATTTTATGTAAGCTAGACGACGCACTTCCGGCGCAAAATACATTTTGCCGCAGTTCGTTGAAGTTGAACCGAACGAACAGCAAACAGCAAGCGGCAAAATCGAGAAAGCGTACAATATGTCCGTCGTTTCATTATGAAAATATTATTTATTCCAATAAATATTAGGAAAATAAACGAAAAATGGCTTCGGATAAGGTACGGATACATGTTCGTAAATTAGATCATTTTATACTTTATTACAAATTTGAAAAAGTAAAGTGTAAAGTATAAAATGATCTAATTTACAAACATTCGTACCTTATCCGAAGCCATTTTTCGTTTATTTTCCTAATATTTATTGCAATAAATAATATTTTCATAATGAAACGACGGACATATTGTACGCTTTCTCGATTTTGCCGCTTGCTGTTTGCTGTTCGTTCGGTTCAACTTCAACGAACTGCGGCAAAATGTATTTTGCGCCGGAAGTGCGTCATCTAGCTTACATAAAATTCTTAACCAATAGTAACGAATTGCTGCTGCAGCGTGCTGCGCATGAAAAAGCACCTTTATACCACATATACCATGGTTCTGTGATGACACATCCAGACATATCGATAACTTGCTATTGCTTGGTGGATGAGAAAGTTACGACGATACGAGTACATAGTTAATCTTTAGAGGTTAATGATTGTCCACTCGCCTTTATCATGAAGGGAATTCTGTATTTACTCGTCATCTTTGCAAATTTATGTGAGCGATACGTAATAGCGGAGCACGAGGAAGACACATCCACAGATCTGTTTGTGATCGAGGGAAAAGTGTTTCCCTGGGACAACGTTGCTTCCACTGGATGGCAGCTCATGACGCACGTGATGGCAAATGGAGGCGAACACTACGGCTTCCTGAGGTATGTACATAACTACAATCGTTTCAAAATCTTATGTCCATGATACTGAAATCGTTTCGAGATCTTGGATATACTAAAGTTGCACTGATCAAATTGTTGAATTGTTCAATGTTAATACTGAATTAATTACCAATATTTCTGTAATTATTATTATTAATGTTGTTCTTTCTCTATTCAAGATTTCAGAGCGTTTCCTAACATTGTAACAAGGCTTAGTACAAGTCTCAATATGTATAACATGTTACACATTAAAGGATGTTTTATTTCAGGGAAGATGGTACTTTTATAATCTCAAATGTCCCATCTGGTTCTTATATGGTTGAAGTGGTAAATCCAAATTATGTTTACGAACCAGTTAGAGTAGAGATCAATTCTAAAGGAAAATTCCGAGCTCGAAAGGTCAATTTAATACAGACATCACAAGTAATTCAAGTACCTTATCCATTGAAAATGAGGCCTTTAACACCATTTCGATATTTCCAAGTTAGAGAGCAATGGCGATTGACAGACTTCTTGTTCAATCCCATGGTAATGCTTTCTATATGTGGATAATGCATGCATTTTAATCATAGATTTATATAAGATCTGTTCTTTTTAGTTTTAGAACTTGTATAGATCACATATCTTTTTCTCTCAAACATGAAAAGAAAAAGGAAGAGTGAATCATACAAGAAGTTTTGTTAAAAATAACAGGTTTATAGACTACGCACTTTCTTTGGAAATGTTAAGATATTAGTAAGAAATAGCAATAATTATGCAATAGTATATTATGAGTAAAGTTCTGTGCACAATAAAAGAAATATTAGAGAAACAGGAATAAATATTAGAGAAATAAAAAATTAGGAAAGATTAAATGTAACATACATTTAATTTTGTATAACAATAGTATAAAGAACATAAGAGCATTTATACATATGTTTTATATCTATTGTATGTTTAAGTTCTACATTTCTCACATGCACACACATTTTTTTATTTTTCTAGTATCTTTCTATTTTTGTATTTCTTTTATTATGCACAAAATCTAATATATACAGGATAATCCAGATTACCATGATTTTCATGAAAAATATGTATGTGCTGGCTCCTGTGGTTGATCTGGATTATCCTGTATATACCTATCCTTCATGTCTTTGACTATCATATATAAGTATGCAGTCTTTTATATAAGTCTATAACTTTAACTTTCTTCACTAAAATGGTTTTTTTTCTCCTATATTCAGGTTCTAATGATGGTTCTGCCACTTTTATTGATAATGGTTCTGCCAAAAATTATGAATGATCCTGAAACTAGGAAGGTAAGAAGACCTAAAGACCGGCCAAAAATTGAGTGACCCTAAAGACTAGGAGAGTTTTTTCTAATGTCTAAAAATTAATGAAAGATAATTAACTGTAAGATAATTCGTCTATATAAATTATTATACTATTTACCATGTAGTCTATATATTCTAGTCCTTGACAAAGTCATAAACTAAATGCATTTTGTAGGAAATGGAGCAATTAAATAATCTCACTATCTATAATATGCCAGAAATGTCTGAAGTAATAACGTCTTTTCTTTCTGGAGGAGAAAAACAAAAATCAAAGGCTGTAAAAGCTGCTAAGAAAAGACAATAATGTATCGGTTTAGTTTACTATCTGTAGATGGTTATATGTGTATATGTTTACTCTAGTCGTTAAAATATATTAAAATATTGACGACAAAAAGTGAAAAACGTTCCGATTACTTGCATCGAGTGTTGCATAAAATGGCGATTATTAATACGTTAAGCCTTTAAACTGCGACTATTTAAAAGTGCTTAATGTACTCCTGCAATTTCATAATTATTAAGATAATTCGCATTTTTTACATGCGAGTGCACTGAAAATGTAGAAAAATAAAATCAGCACTATACAACAACTTTTTAATTTGTTACTTATTTTGTTTTACGTGGTTCATGTAATATGCTACGCGTAATTTCATAAAACAATAGAGGAAACTTTGTATAGATATATATAAGTAAAAGAAAAATCTGACCTAATATAATGTAACACACACGATATTTACAACATAATTGTACTTTGCGTCACAAAAATACACTATTTTGTTATATACACTTTCTTGTGTCTGTCATTCTCTGTGATGTTTAGATTAATCCTATCCTATGTATAAGATGTTGTCCAGACACAAGATACAATTTTCTAAATTGTAAAAAGACAATGTATCCATAATACAACAAATAAATAATTACATATAAATTATTGAAACAGATTATTTTAAACTTCTTTAAATTTCTTCAAACTTTCCAATCAACCTTAGTATAAAACAGAATAAAACAAATATATACAATGAGGATTTGAAACTGCGAATTCAGTACTCCAACTTTTAACGACAGTATCGATATCATTATATTGTTGTGCAGATATGATTAAAAAGTTGCGCAACGACAATGCAACAATGCCGAACTATCGTTAAAAATTATAGACTTACAATAAGACATAAAGAATAGGCCATAAGTCAGAAGTAAGAAACTAAAAATTGATGACTGTGATTAGTTCATTTCTAGCTTATGATTTATAATTTATTGTAGAAGGCCTATTACAGAATCGAGATACATATAATGTCCTCTTATTGACTACAAATTGACTGTTTTCACATGGAGGCATCCTAATAGCAATACATAATTTAATTCTGTAATATCCTATTGTATTACAAATAATTATAACAAATAATTATAATAATTAAAACGTTTTAATTATTTTGTGCTCAGTCTACAAAAAAATTTATAGAATATTATACTGTACAAAAGAAAACAGAAAAAACCTAAAATATTTCTAATTATATATTGAAAAATTATAACAAACAATATAACAATAGCTACTAATTAAATTTTTATTCAAAATGAATTTTTTAATCAAAAATTGTACATTTTTTTTAAGATATCAAAGGATTTACGAGTTATCGTCGTATCGTGATTTGTTGCTGATGCCAACATTTCGTGAACCTTGCCGTTCACTACGCTCCTTGCCCTGAATGAAGTGAACGGCAAGATTCACAAAATGTTGACATATTAACAATGAATCACGACACAACAATAATCCGTAAACCCTTTGACACCTCTAAAGAAAACACTCGTGTAAAAGTCTTAAAAATATTATATATTTGTTTTTTTTTAACTTCTATATAGTTCAAAGAATCTCGAGCATTGTTCTTTTTAGATCTATCAATATTTTAAGAAGAGTATTTTAATTGTCGGTAGATGATTAGAATGATGCTTTTTCATACCAAAAATAGGCAATTAAGACTGCCCATTTAAAATTATACATACACATAATTAAGAGCATTGCCTGCAAAAAATAAAATTATATTTGTACATTATATATATTTTATTGAATATTGATTATATTTTAAGTTATCACATTAACGATTAAAGTGACCAATGAACAAACATACACACACACGCTCCCACACACACACACACACACGTGCGTGCTAAATTTTTTTCAAACTTGAAACGCATACTACTAAAAACCAGGGCTGGGTAATATTTAAAATAGTTCCATTTTAAATACATATTTAAAATGGAAATGGCATTTTGCATTTTCCATTTTAAATAGTTTTTTGGAAAACCATTTCCATTTTACATTTCAAATGGAATCATGTCTATCATTTAACCATTTATAAAATAGGTAAATGGTTTTTTTATGTATTCATAAATTTTCCCTTAAGAAGAATTAAGTATCGTGGTTGGTGAAAACACAATTTCTTCTATGACGATGTTGTCTGATACATTTAAAAAACAATTGTTACTCAAAGTAAATAGTGCGTTTATTAAATTAAATAAAACTGTATTACTGTAAAATGTATTTTTTTAAACAAATATTAAAATCTTTTTAGGACTGTACAATGATAAACAACAATAAGAAGGAAGTTAATAACAGTCAAAGCTGGATCACAATGCTTATTATAATTATGTGTGAATTTTGTAATATGTAGTACTCCCATATAAATATTATTTATCATTGTACAGTCTTAAAAAGATTTTAATATTTGTTAATACACGTCGATCTTGAAAAAGACGTTATTCCTACTTTAGATAAATATTGCGAAGAATATTACTACGTCGATCCCCTCCCCCATCAGAGGTCTATCGATATTCGTAAAAATTTCTTGCAAATACTGAGATACGCGTATATCTCTATATATAGAATCTCGATTTAATAATTTACACAGGCGTCTAAGGTAGGTTTCCACTACAATACCTTACTGATGAGTCCAATAGTGGAAACCTGGACGAAACACCAAAATTATTAATATTTTTCGCAATACATAAGAATTACAGAATTTTAAATACGAAAATTAAAAATTATCCTTTTCAGATTTTAATATGTCATTCAAAACTATTAAGATCCATGATGCTATGAGCATCAAAAATTGTTAATCAATTAAAGTTCGTGATATTACTGCGGTAGTAAGTATGTATGCGCGCGTCAATGCTGAAAAACTATCAGCGTCGCGATTTATATGGGGGGACTACATACGCAGTATACAAAATTCACACATAATTATAATAAGCATTATGATCCAGCTTTGACTGTTATTGACTTCCTTCTTCTTGTATTTTCTTTAATTTTTTATAATTATCCCAATAAATTGTGAATTAAACTGTAATATAAAATAGATATTAGTTACAAATCCATAAATATCGATTTTTATTAAAAAAAATGGATGTTCCAGCATTATGCAAAGTAATTTCCAACATAAAATACTTAAAAATATGTATACCAAGTAAGACCATTTTGCATTTGAAAACCATTTAAAATTCCCATTTATCTATTTTATATTTAAAATGGATTAAAAGAATCTATTTTACATTTTGTATTTTAAATACTCTTTTTAAAAGTATTTTATATTTGGTATTTTAAATGGAATTCGAAAGGCATTTTACCCAGCCCTGCTAAAAACTACTGCAGTATCACGAGTAAAAATTGATTAATAATTTAATAAGTCTAAAGGCTTAGGACGCTCGCACGGAATGCCAGAGATCCGGGTTCAACTCCCAGTCGAGATAAATATTTTTCGCAATGAAAAATTAATGATTTACGGATTTAATATGTTGATTTACAGATTTTAATATGTCATTCGCAAAACATTATTAATGATCTAAAGATGCGCAAAAAGTATCAAAAATTGTTAGTCAATTTAACTTATATATATCAAATTGACTAACAACTAACAATTTAAGTTAAAAATCTACAAACGTAGTATATAAATTCACACGCAATTATATAGAAGCACCCGAGATCTAGCTTAACCGTTAAGCCCGTATCACACTACGGATTGAGGACACGGATCGGAATTCAGCCAATCAAGACAAGGCAGCTTCGGATCCAGATTGTAGATTGCAGAATAGACGGTTCTCTATTTTTTTGTAATTCGTAATCGTGACTCTCAAGCCAATAATAAAATATTTGAGTTTTGGGCACGTGATCCGTTTATGGACGAATGAATAAGCATCGTTTGTGTGGTCACTTATAGCAGTTATAGCTCATACAATGGCTCCAAAAAGTGATTTTTTTTACAAAAGACATCGAATGCACGATTATAATTAAATTAATATATGTATATAATAAAGATTCTCGAATTAAATTTGTTGAAATTAATTACGTTTTAAGTTTGTAAGTATGATACACATAGTTTAAGTTGATCAGACATGCGCGAACAGCGAATTGTGATATTCGGAATTTCTTTTGTTTTGATCGTCCTTTTTTAGATGAGAGAGTAGCGCAACTCTTCTGATTTTGTGAAACCTAAAATGGAGTGCGCATGCGCGAAATGGGTAAGTTGCCCAGTAACGCCGTCTACACTTCTATCTCACTTGCTCTAGTTCCTCTTTCCCTCTGTTTCTTTCTAGCTGCCTAGGTTATTTGTATGAACAGCAAATTAAATGTACAAAAACTGTTAAAAAATGTTAAAAGAAATAGATTTATAATTGTAATGCGTTGCAAAATAAAGAAAATACAAAAGTAAGAAAATATAAAATTATATAAATATTGTATAAATCAATAAAAAATTCAACTCTCGAAAAATTCAAAATATAAAAAATTAAGGCTAATGAGAGCAATTCGCTGTAATTAGTGCGATCAAATAAACGTTTTTAATAAATAATAAAATATATACATCTAGACGTTTCGGCCTACATCCGGGCCATCTTCAGTAGTCATATACAAAATCAAATAAGTCATGGGTGTGAAAGAAAGTGAATGCTCCCCCAGCCTTCTAACAGTCTCAACATGGTTTAAAAGTCATGTATAAAAATTATTAGAATTGTACCACACAGAATTAACGCAGATTTTCTAGCTAAAACGTAAGTATAATTTAACAGAAAAACACAAGCATCATTTTCCGCAGGTTTAAAATATTAATATAAACAATAAAATTTACTGTTATTTATATTATTACAGATTTTATATATATTTCATAAAATTATTATTAGATACTTTTATAATTACAATAATTATATAGTCAAAACATATAGTACTGTTTTCTTATTACGTAATCTGTAATAATATAAATAACAGTAAATTTTATTGTTTATATTAATATTTTAAACCTACGGAAAATGATGTTTGTGTTTTTCTGTTGAATTACTTACGTTTTAGCTAGAAAATCTGTGTTAATTCTGTGTGGTACAATTCTAATAATTTTCAAAAGATGCAAACAATTTAGCAGGAAAACAAGCATCATGTGCCGACCTTTAATTAAAATATTTTTACAGTATAATATTTATACAATATTTATATAATTTTATATTTTCTTATTTTTGTATTTTTTTTTTATTTTGCAACGCATTACAATTATAAATCTATTTCTTTTTGTTTTTGTACATTTAATTTACTGTTCATACAAATA